CTTCCCCAAAAGGCAAATCACCAGGACCAGTGGCCTCGATCCAGGGGGTCCTTGTGGCTTTCCCACCGGAAGCCGGTATTTCTAATGCAAGCAGGATGCAGTCTTAACAAGGGCAATGAAGTCCAGAGGGTGACTGTTTAAAGTCACTAAGTCGTGCCTCGCTTCCTGTTTTATTATTAGCGTTAGGGTTATTCTTGTAAGGAGGGGCCATCTGTGCTTTGAAACCCAGATTTACGTGTCTGTCCTCCTTTGAACTAGACTTTTCTCTGAAAGTTTTATTCTACACGGCAGCAACTGTCATCCACTGACGGGGAAATTAAAACCTCTAGCTCGTAGCATTGATGGCTTAGAGAGCGACTTCCCTGGGCCGGTTTGATCCACAGTCAGTCGATCTGTGTGTGTGGCTTTCCTGGCTTTCGTGGAGGAGGTCCGAATTGAGTGAGGGCCGCCGTTAGGAAAAGCATGTTTCTCGTGAATTGCGTTGGACGGACAGTCTCTCCAAGAACACGTCTCACTTCTCCAGGCTGACCTCCCCATGTTCCCTAGAGCCTCTGGGGGCTGCGTGGTGACGATTCTGGTAGCAGGAGGAGTCTGGCTGTTTCTGGAACCACCTAAAGCCCTAGGGATAGGTCCCCAGAGAATGTAGAAGAACCTTAATCCAGGGTGACTCGGGCCCCCAACTCCCGCTTCAGTTTTGCTTTGACTTGGTCGACGAGCTCGGTGTGCTGTAAATAGATTAAGGAATCTTATTGGAAAAGATCTAGAAATGGCTTCCTCCCTGTGGGCGGTATGGTCATCTGGGGTGATGTTTCCTGCTGCTGGTGAGGTCACTCAGCCACAGTCCCCGTGGCTCTCTCCAGACGTCTGCCAGGCCCGGCCTGGCCACCTACCCGCCTCAGACTTGCAGTGAGTGGCTTTGGGTTTTGGGCTAAGTCAGAGCCAGCCAAGGCGAGCATCCTTTAGAAAGCATCCTCTAGAAGTTATGGTGCCCTGATGGCGTTTGGCCGGACAGATGTGGTTCACATGGGAACGAGGGACTCCAGCCTCTGGGGGGCCTGTATGTGACCCAGCCAGCGAGCCTTCTGGCGAGTGGGGCTCAGACTGCAAGCCTGCACCTGCCTGCGATCTCGGGGCCTCCTGCAGACCCTCCAAGCACATGATGCCACGCTGGCTTCTCTGCTCCATCCTTAGGATTCCCAGTGGGGAGGCGAAGGGGACCCACAGGGGCAGCTGTACCTTGCTCTTTGCTCTCGGTGCATTTTCTCTTGTTGCCCGAGGGTCTCTGCCGCTTGTCACCCCCTTTCCTGGAGAGCCCCAGGCTGGGGGGAGGAGGGACAAGAAACCGAGGCTTCTCTGCTAAAAGTGCCTTCAAGTCAGGCTGCTTTGTCTCGCCCGAGCTTGGTGGTGTCTCTCAGGTCCCAGCACACAGGTGGATGAATGTAAGAGGACGGAGGGGCGAGTCAAGTCCTCGTGTCTGTTGCCGTGTCCTCTCTCTTTCCCTCTCTTTCCTCCCTCCCCCCAAGGCCACCAGGTCGCACTTTTATGTATTTACTTTTCAGTAAGTTTCAATCCTCGAGGGGTCCCGAATCCCGCAGATGCAGTGGCCTCAGTGGGAAGGTTGCTCTGAGTCTGGCCCGACACCCCCCCCCACCCCCCGCCACCATTCCCGTGCCACGAGTCGCCTCCCCCCTGCCGCCCTCTGGGGTTCCTCCATTTGCTGCCAGGAGTCATTTGCCACTGTGTTCTTTTCTCCGTGCGTGTGTGCTCAGCTCTCGTCCAGCTAGAGTCCGAGTTTCATCTTGAGCGTGACCAGCTTCAGCTTTAAGAGGAGCTGGCCCTCCGTCATAGGCCCCACGTGGAGGCGGCCTGGTGATCTTATAGAGGCGGCCCAGTGACCTTGCCGCCCTGCTCCCAGCCGACTTTCACGAGCCCCGATGTGGCTGCAGGGCCTTCTCTGAAATCAGGTCCGTGGCATCAGCCACCAAAGGGGTAAAGGCCACGGTGCAGAGTGGACAGTTCCCTGGGGACCTTTCCCACATGTAGGAAGAACAGGGCTTGTCTATCCCTAGAGACTGGAAGGGCATATCACATGGGAACCTACATTGTGCCGTCGCGGTGTCCGTCCTTCCATTTGCCCATCTGTCCGGGCACATGGACCCGGCTCTCAGGGAGGTAAGACAGGGGTCAAGGTCTGTGCTGTCTGAGAGGTGGGACAGAGTGCTGATTCCCTCAGAGGAGCTACATGGAAGGTATGTAGGGGGGCGGGGGTACGTGGCTGTTGAGGATTCTCAGGCCTGGTTCTCCGATGAACCTGAGATAGACTTAAGTGCAGGAAGCTCGGGGGCAGGGGTATACTCTTGGGAGGAACCCCCCGGGGAAGGGAAGGGAGCAGTTATGTAGTAAAGTCACAGGAAGGGCCCCTGCCAGCCCCTGAGAGCTCTGAGCTGTGTGGAATTGTCTGCCTCGAGGCAAGGGAATTGGTGGGCTTTTTACCCCCCCAACATGGGCCAGCCATTGTGTGGGCAACACCCCCTGCCCCCGATCCCAGATACAGCCTTGTGCCCCAAGAGGGACTCCACTGTGAGCCTCTGCAGCTGGGCAGCATTTGCTCTAGAGAGTTTGGGCATTTGACACCAGAGCAGAAACGCAGTCTGGGAAGGCTGCCTGGTGGAAGCGGCATTTTCTTTGAGACTTGACTAGTGCATGAGTTTCTGGCATCCGGGGGGAGGGAACCGTGATAGCAAAAAGGCATGTTGGGGGACCAGCAAATGGGCTGGGGTGAAGTGAGAATTCAATCTGGACAGACAGACAGGGGCGCCCTTTTGCAGGGGGCTACAGGGTTTGGACGTTATTCTGTGTGCCCTGTGGGAGAGGAGCCAGCAAAGGATTGTCCCTGTTGGTGACCTGCAGCCAGAGACGGGCTCTGGGCTGAGCCCACCCACCCCTCCTCCCACCGGGAAAACGCTGAGCCTGGTCTGCCCGTCCCTCCTTGTTCCTGGTGGCTGTTTCCCTGCTCCTCCTCTCCCTCAACCTCCCCTCTGTATTCTCTTCCTTAAGACATGAAGGGACACATTCCTACCCGACTGACTCCTGGAGCCATAAACTCCTTAAACCCAAACAATGGGTTTAAAGTTTTAAGACCCCTGATTTGGAACTGGAGTCGGGAGTTTGGGGGCCTGAAAGACCAGTTAGCTCAACCCTTTCATTTTGGGTGGAGAAGCCGAGGACCAGAGAGGCAGAGTGACTTGGCCAGGGCTGGACAGCAGATAAGCAGCAGAGCCCAGGCAGAAACCCAGTTCTCTCGAATCCTAATTGAGAGAAGGCACTGGAAAGCTGTGCTTAATTTTGTTTTTGGCATTGGAGACCATTGAGTTCTTAGTAATAGAAATTTTCATTAAATAATGTCATGTCCGTATATTCCACTGGCTAAAAATAACTCTACGTGGGCATTTGGCACGAATACAATGATTGCCTCGGGTGGATCCCATTTTGATCTCATTTTGCAGAGGAGACTCTTGGAAGACCGTTAGCTTGGCCAAGCTTCCACTGGTGGTGGGAAGAGGGAGAGCCGGGATTCAAAGCCGGGCCATCTGGCCCCAGAACCACCACTGTTCATAGATGCTAACCACTGTACTTCCCAGCTGCTTTAATACGTCGGGAAAGATCCAAAAGTCGATACGTGGCAAGAAAGTACAGTATGATGTTTGTTTCATTTTTTATTTTTATTCTTTAATAGTTTTTTAATGTTGGTTTATTTTTGAGAGAGAGACAGAGCGCTTGCAGGGGAGGGGCAGAGAGGGAGGGGGACACGGAATCCGAAGCAGGCTCCAGGCTCCGAGCGGTCAGCACAGAGCCAGATGCAGGGCTAGAACTCACAAACCATGAGGTCATAACCTGAGCTGAAGTGGACACTTAACCAACTGAGCCACCCTGGTGCCCCTTGTTTCTTTTTAAAGATGTGTATATGGCTTGAAAATAAATCTCCAGTGGCGCCTGGGTGGCTCAGTCGGTTAAGCGTCCGACTTCGGCTCAGGTCACGATCTCGCGGTCCGTGAGTTTGAGCCCCACGTCAGGCTCTGTGCTGACAGCTCAGAGCCTGGAGCCTGCTTCCGATTCTGTGTCTCCCTCTCTCTCTGACCCTCCCCCGTTCATGCTCTGTCTCTCTCTCTGTCTAAATAAACTTAAAAAAAAAAAAAAGAAAGAAAATAAATCTCCAGAGATACCAAAATGTTGACTTAGAGCTGTGGGATTATGGGTGTTTACTCTTTCCTTTGTGTTTTTCTACGTCATCATATTATACAGAGTGAGAAGGCGTTCTTTTTGTCACTAGGTAACTTTAGGAGAAGTCTCTGCTTACAGTGGCAGTGTGGCTCATGTTGAGTTCAGGGGGCCATCACACGGCTGCAGCGTTAGCTCTGTTCCTGGCTGGGCATCCGGAGAAGGGGCAGGGGGCAGGGGCCAGGCCGATGTAGTGGTTGGAATTCAGACAAGACGTTGGTCTGGAGAGCCGGGAAGGACTTGGGAAATCAGCCTCACTTGACAGGGGACCCGTGTCTCTGTACAGACCCCAGGCCAGGGCTCCTTCCTCCGGCTTTGGGGTTTCAGGTGACAGTGGGCACTTGGGAGAAACACCCAGTTAGCGTCTGGGTTCCAGGGCACGAGACTGAAATGGAGGTACATGGGTCGGCAGCCTTGGGGGATCAGTGGGGGCTGGGTAGGGGGCCAGCGAGGGACGGCTCCAAGGCTCCCAGACGGAAGGCTGCCTCCTGTTCGCAGCTGCGTGGAGAAGGGTCCCCAGCAGAGAGGCTCGGTCGTTGTGGCAGGTGGGGAGGGGATGACGTGGGAGCAGAAAGCCAGCTCCCGCCTCCCGGGCTTGGGCAGGACGGTGGCCCGGCCAGGTCTCTATTTTTTCCAGCTCTGCCACCTAGCTCTGCTCTGCGACCCTCTGGGGTTCTGCCCTGTGACAATCTCAAAGTGACCGTGTTTCTCTCTTTGACCAGAGACCACCTGGGAACGCCCCAGCAGTTCTTCTGGGATTCCAGCCAGCCCTGGCCCTCACAGGAGCTCTCTGCCTCCGACAGGTACAGTCCACCCACTACCTTGGGGCAGCTGGGAGGGGCCACACACCCGCCTTCATCGGAAAGGCCAAGACTGTGGGTTCTGGGGTCTGCAGCCTGGCGGGGGATCTTACTGGCCGATCCCAGGGAGTGGTCTGGAGGGCTAGGAGGATGGGCTCTCCCTGGCGATCCCGGCAGGACACTCCCCGAGGGGGGGGACCTCGTCTCCCCTTTTCTTCTGTGGGATCCTCAGTCCCCAGACAAGGCCCGGCTGCAACGAATGTCTCCACAGCCACAGGGGGTGTGAACGTCATTTGATGGTTTTCCAACCTTAAGCATCAACCCAGAGGCCAGAGTCCAGAAGGTGTGGTTGTGGTGGCAGCCTGGAATTTCAAGTTGGCAGCTTTGAAAAAACATGGGGTGTAGCTGGATGGAGGGGAAGGGTGGGGAGGGGGCCGGGGGAGGAACAGCAGCTTATGTGCAGGGTAGTGAGGGCCTGCACTGTCTTCACGGTGGCCCCAGATCAGAGGTCTGAGTAGCTTCCCTAACACATCACAGGTGACCCACGGAAGAGCTGAAATAAGGAATGAATGAGTGGCTGCATGAATGAATGAATGCATGTGTGCAGACAGGCGTAGTAAGTAGAAAGAAGACCCTTAAACCTTGGAACAGAGGAAGGGTCTTGGGTGCAGAGAGTGGGCTGAACACAGCCTGCCTTTCACAGTGGAGAGTCTTTGGACTTGATCGCTGCTGGTGCACTGAGAAGTCAGAACGCGATCAAAGTACGTTATTTAGGGAAATGAAGATGGACTGCACAGGAAGCTCTGGACAGTCAGCCGAGGCGTGGGATGTTCCGGGCTTTTGAGATGTTTTTACGTACATCTTTTACCTACATTAAAAAAAAAAAAAAAAAAAAAGGATTCAAACAGAAAGGAACCCTTTCTGTTTAGGTTTATGTATTTATTTTGAGAGAGACAGAGACAGCGGGAGGAGGGGAGGGGCAGAGAGAATCCCAAGCAGGCTCTGCACTGTCAGGACAGAACCCGATGTGGGGCTCGAACCCACGAACCGTGAGACCGTGACCTGAGCCAAACTCGAGAGTCGGACACTTGACCGACTGGGCCGCCCGGGAGCCCCGGAAAGGAGCCCTCTCGGGAAGGAGGGCGATGGGGCATTTACTCCTGCTTTTCTAGGGCTGGGCTGAGGGCTCCCTGATGAGAGCCTGTCTCTAGAACCGGGCTCTCATTCAGCCTTGGGACCTGTTGTAGACGACAGGCTTTTCGGGCACGCTGCCTTCTCCGTTGTCGTTCTCGTGGTTTTGTTCCTGTTCTTTATAATAGTAGAAATGCCAGCGTGCAGAAAGTGAGGTGTGGCCCCTGATCCTGGCCAGCCAAGACGCTATAAAGGAAACCCAGCTGTCTTTTCTGGCCAGAGCAGTTGATCTGCGGCCACTGTGGCCTGCAATGCATGCTGATGGGGCGGGTTGGGGGACTTGCCTTTTGAGTCTGTGGGCCCACCTCACTGGGGCCTGTTCTCCCTTGCACGGTCCCTAGCATCCTTCTGTCCCCTCTGTGCGGTTCGGGGGCCGTCTCCCAGGAGAGGGGCTGGCAGGAGCTGGCTCAGGGTCCTGCTCAGGTGACAGGTTCCTGCCTTCCCCTGATCAGCACAACCCCGAGCGCAGAGCTGGGTGCTGGGACTCTGGAGCTGAGAAGGGAGGGGGAGACGGGAGGGAGAGGGTCAGACCCAATGACGAGAACTGCCAAAGCGTTTAGACAGAGCGCGTGGACACCGACTCGCCCTCCTCTGCCCCCACCAGCCGGGGACCAGAGACACGTCTTCCCAAGGCCCCAGGATGCGAGGTCTGTCGACTTCTCTGCATTTGTGGGCGAATGCAGGTGGAAATTCTGCCTTCCCTATTGCCCTTTGGCGACTCAGCAGGTGCATCGGCATTCCGAAGGCTCGGGGTCTCGAGTGAAGACCCTGTTTGATTCCGTGCTTCTGTTCTTTTGTCTGTCTACAACACCTGCACGGACTTTTTAAGCTGCTCTGCCCCCAGCAGGGTGGTTCTGAACTCTGGGGGTGATTTTGCCTACCGGTGGGCATTTGGCAACATCTGAAGACAATTTTTGGGGTGGCCATTCAGTGCACAGAGGCTAGGGATGCTGCTAGACCTCTGCATTGCCCAGCACAGCCACCCCCCCAAAGGGCTATAAGGCCCACCTGTCAGTAGTACCAGAGTTGAGGGGCTCCGTCCTGGGGTGAGTCAGAACACGGGTCGTGCGCTGTTCGAGGGTCGCTCGACGCACCATGGCCCGTTGACGTGAGAAGCCGCGGCGAAATCTGCAGAACCGTGGCTCACGGGCTCTGAGACCCACCTTTTGCAAATACCATGGAAGCCAGAAGGGGCGTCTGCTTGTTCAGTTAGAGGCCCCTTTGTTTCCTTCCCTGGTCGTCACGGCATCCCAGATTTAGAAATCACAGCTTGTCAGATTGGGGCCTCAGGCACGTCGCGTCTCTGTGCCAGGCCTGCTTCTGCCCGTTTATACACGAGGGCCTGGAGGAGGAAGGTTGTAGCTCGGGTCCCGTCCAGCCCTCCGTGGATTATGACTCTTGATTCTCTCCCCCTCCCCGGGGCGTGAACGCCGGTCAAGTCTGCATCGTCCCTCTGGGGGACGGGAAGGATCCTACCAGGGAGGTTCCAGGAGCATCTGTGAGGTTTTGACCCCTTTTCTAGCTTTCGCAGGAAACCTCTGATCAAAAGAATAGAACGGCAGCCACATTGACATTTCTTTCTACGGGGTGCACTAGGGTTTTTTTTTT